AAAAAAAAAAAAAAAAAAAAAAAGCCCATTTACTGTCAACATTTAATCACTGTTCTCAGTATTCGCACTTTGAGTTTTATTGTTTATTTCAGTCACAAAGAAAAAAGTCTTTAGCCTACTGCTGAGAATTTGTGGAAGAAAGTAAATGGAATGTCTTGTGTTTTACAAAATGTCAAGAATACTTGCATTTTATTTAATTAGCACTTTAGACAAATGCCTTAGAAAAAATTCACATCCCAAATTTTTTTACTCAATCCATAGCCTTGTACTCACATAATAATTTCCCATATTTAAGTACTTGAATATCTGAAAATACGTTCTTGTTAGAGACTCCTTAAGTTGATAAACCCAATTGCATTTTATTGTTAAAATAATTTTGCAGTCAGAATTGCCAAGAATTGTATGACTTCTCTAGGTGTTCCTCAACAACATCACCTTTTCAAATACTTTAATCTCCTCATGAGGGGGACACATGATATACAAAGACTGTGTGAAAGTCACCATAGTGATACCAATGCTGAGAATGAAAATGAAACTATTTATATATGCATTTATATATCTATGTGTGTATGTGTTTGCAGTACTCAGAATTAAACCTAGTGTACCTGCACTGAGCTACATCTCCAGTGCTTTTGTGAATTTGTTTGCTTTTCACTTCAGACAAGGTCTTGCTAAGTCATTAAGTTGCCCAGGCTGGAATTCCACTTGGGATCTTCCTGCCTCAGCTTCACAAAGTACTGGGATTACAGGCACGCAGCTTCTCGCCCAGTTTGATATAAGTATAAATTAATAAACTGAGCTAACTAGAGATGTTTTATTTGAATCTCCAAGGTCAATAACTGAAAACAGTCCCTGATTAATTTTAAGGAAGTGAAATTTGAGCCTGTTCTCAGTAGTACTTGTATCTCAAATTTTTTTGTAAACAGTTCTAGATGAGACTTTGTTTTGGCAGAAATTAAAGCTCTAATATTACTGTGGTTAATAACAGTATTGTGCACAGAATATATATTTGCTTGTAAGTACTTGGCAGCTTCTTCTGAGGGGGATTACCAAGTTTCTGTGGGGTTTTTTGGTTTTATTTTATTATGTTGCATTTTTCTTTTGCTTTAATGTGGTCTGAACCCTGGGCCTTCATACTGTGGTGTGATTCCACCACTTTCTATTTTTTTAAGTCTTAAAATTTTATCTATTGACCTATTTATTTATTTATTATTTCATTCATTCATTCATCCATCTATTCATTTCAGGTACTGGAAGTTGAATCCAGGGCTTTTATACTGAACTACATTTTCAGTCCTTTGTTATTGATTTTTATTTTAGGACAGTGGTTCACTGATTTGCTCATTGTCCCAGGCTGTTCTGCAATTTACAGTTCTCTTGCCTCAGCCTACCAGAATGCCCAGTTTGTAGGTGTGTGTCACCAGGCCCACTGAGGATTACGTGCTTTATGTATGTTGTTTTCATCTAATTCTTTTTCTTAGAGGTGCTTTAAGCGACTTGTTATTTTGAAGACCACTAACCCGTCTAACTTCAGGAGGAGTTTTTAAAAAAAGAATCTAAGAAAAAAAAATAGGGAAAATATTTCCATTCCTGATGTATATCATTCTCTGTCATTGCAGGAGGATACAGATCACAATTATTACATATCTCGGATATATGGTCCATCTGATTCTGCCAGCCGGGACTTGTGGGTGAATATTGACCAAATGGAAAAAGATAAAGTAAAGATTCATGGAATATTGTCCAATACTCATCGGCAAGCTGCAGTAAGTGCTTTAATATTTAGAGATTCTTTTTCATTTCTTTTCACTATGAAAACTTTATTTTGTCCTTGTTTTTCAGGGTCAATTTTGGATTGCATTCAGTTCTGGAACTATAGTGTATGTAAATAACTGCATATAATTTATTAAAACTTAGAGGAATTACACTGATAAGCCATATAAATAGAGCCAATTTCCTGATTATGTCTGATGAGCTATATATTTAATTCAAATTGAGATTCATTTGGATTATTCTCAGTTGTATAATCCTTAGAACAGCTTTCAAATTTTCTTTGTTATCTTTCAGTTGATGAGGATTTATTGCTTTGGGGCTTGTAAAATAGTTCACTAAAAATGTTTGTGACTCATGTAACATATGTAGACCAACTTAGTTTTAAAAAATTTAATTTAAGGGGAATGAGTGTGATCAAAAGACACTACACTGACATTTTAAGCCTGGGTTAACTATTTATTGGCTGTGTTTTCTTGAGTAAGTGATTTAGCTATTTTGAGATACAGAGTAAGCATCTGTGATGTGGAGCTGAGAGGGGAACAGTCATACTATCGACAGTCACTGGTATGATCACTGATATCTTGTCCTTCATGCCAGACTGAGTATGTAATGAACTGGCTCGAATGGCTTGAATATTACTGACATCTAGATACTACTGATGAGAGGATTCAGTCTTGGAAGAGTCAGAGAACCTACTCACACATTTGGCTAGTAAGTGGTGAAATTGGGATATTAACCTAGACCTTCAAGCATCATCGAAAATGTGTGTGTCAAACTTCCACACCTTAATCTCAGATTGTACATGGCTTCCCTTTATGGTAAATGCAGATTTAAAATTAACTGACTTTTCCTGGCATGGATCACAGTGATGATGTGCCTGTCAACAATACCGTGTCATTGTCTCTTTGGGAAAAAGGTACAAATTTAACCCTCAAGAGCTGCTGTTATTACTGATGTGGAGATAGAGCCAACAGTCAGTGATTGAAATTGCTTAGAAAAGCATTGATTTGATAAAGGTTATATATAAAAATTGGCAATGCTTCATGCCTTACATATGTAGAAGTTTGTTTATTAATTATAGTTCATCATGCTGAGACATTGAATTTTGTATGTAGAGCACATATTTTTCTGATGCTGAGAAGCAAACAAAGCAGCTCTTTATTCTTATTGAACTCCATGATCCCATTTCTTTTCCATATCCGTGCAATTCCAGCCAACATGACAGATTGAGAAATGAGGCACTGAAGGATTTACAGCTAATCTTCAAAAGAAGAGAAAATGAGAAAAGTTAAGCATTGAACAATGTCTGTCTGGAATTCATAGCATTTGACAATCTTCCCACAGTATCACAGTGCCCAATGATATAAAATATGCTTCAGGGAAGTGAGTGCTGCTCTCTCCCGAGGGGGACTCCAAGGTGGCCCCAAGCCTGGTGCAAGCCATCAGGCATGACGTGGGTCAGCTGAAATGGTTGGTGATCTCTTCTCCACACCGATTTGACTGCCTTCCATGGGTTCTCTGTGCTCTCCCAATAGTGAGGCAGTATACATGTCCTGAACATGCCTCTTTTTCTCTTAGAAATAAGTTATTTGATTATTTTTTAGCCTCAGCTCTGTGATGGTCTTGAGAAAAAATAACATGCTGAAAGGAACTATCTTTTCTTAATGATGTTGCTGTAAGTTGAAGAAGTTTCAGCTATAGCTTACCTCATGCTCCATGCATTGAGTTTCAAATATATAGAATTGTTTGAAGCCTTTGGTTTGGCTTGGTTTTGCACTTTTCCATGAGAATTTAAGACAGTATTTTAGAGTTAGAAATTGATCCTCCATCTATTGTATTATTACCATCAGCAGAATCACCAGACACATATACACACCACACACATAATGCATGCACACACTGCTGACTGCACACATCAAAATACACACACACACACACACAAGCATAAACTTTACTTTATAACAATACAAGTGGTAATATTGCCTAATATCTATTATTTTCAGAAAATTCTGACCCATGAACTTCTAAATTTAAATAAATTTTGTATCTTGAAACTCACAAATTTACATACTAGAATACGTTTTAGATTTCCTTAAAATATTGTCTCTTTTAAAAGTACAATTTGGCCAGGCATGGTGGTGCACACCTGTAATCCCAACACTTGAGGGGCTGAGGCAGGAGGATTACCATTAGTTTGAGGCTAGCCTGGGCTACATAGTGAGCTCAAAGCCAGCGTGGATGACATAACAAGACCTTGTCTTAATCAATCAATCAACCAACCAACAAACCAGTCAGTCAATCAATGTGTAATTTGATCTGAGCTTTCCAAATGTACAGAATAGTCCATGTTTGGTTATTTCCTTAGTAGGCCTCAGTATCCTTTCATTGCTGCTGGGTCCTCTGACTCATTTCTTTTTTGCTCTTCTCAGGATATGTGAGGTTGTTAGAGATAATGGAGTCATAATATTAAAGTAATATTATGGAGAGGGAGCTCAATCACATCCACATATGCACATATGCACTCTATCCTCAACATACACACGCATGCATGCACACACACATGCATGCATGCACACACTCACACAAATACAAAACCATAGCTGCTCTTATTTTTGTTATTCTTGAGAAACTTAAGCACAAAGCAAAATGGCAAATGGAAAACAAGGTACCACTTTATTAATTAGCTTTGTTCCTGTCATATTAGACAAATCTCTTCATGTAGAGCTGTAAAATAATTTGGCTGGAAACAGGATTTAAATTTATGCCT